TGTCTCCAAAGTGCTTGGAAAATTTGACAAGCTGCTAGAGGGATAGCAGCAGTTGATACTTCACTCCCAACAAACATCTCAAGCTTAGTGATATGACTGCCTGTCACTTTTTTAAAGTGGTGACCTGTGTTGTTTGTCATACACCAGCAGCATGCATCTTTTAAAAGCTAAATTATTTTTAATGGGTCACATTATGGTAATAAATACCCACTGTTTAAGAAAATGTAAGAATAGAAACCCTGCTAGGGTGCAGTCAGGATACCAAGTCAGTACTATACTGGCATCCAGTGGCTGATATGGGAAGATTGTGGGAATGCCTATAGCGATTCTATTTCTCTATGTGGTTACACCAACAAATTACCTTCTTACATACATATGAACATTTACACACAGATTTGTCCATGCATATGGAATGAAGCATGAATAATTCATCAACTTGGTCAGCATTTTAAATATTTAATCCTTTGCAGTCTATGTTAAAGGAATAGTTCACCCATAAATGAACATTATGTCCAATTAAAAAAAAAAAGACTGTTTTTTTTGTATGTTTCTTTTGTTTTTTAGAATATACAATGTAAGTCAAAGGGCCCCAGTGTTGTTTTGGACCCCATTGACTTTCTTAGTACTGACAAGAACAACATTTATTTTTTGTGTGTGTCCCACAGAAGAAATAATGTCATAAATTAAGTCTGTAACAGTTTTGTAGCAGTAAATGACAATGTTTTGTTTTGTCTCATCATGAGAAAACAACTATTTTAGGAGGTGGTGATTTTGTATGAATTTGTAAAATGTGATTTGTACAGAAACATAGGGCCTACTATTAAAAATATTAAAATTCAGTCCTCAATCACTCACCCTTGTGTCATTCCAAACCCTTATGGGTTTCTTTCTATGCTGAGACCGAAAGATGTTTTTAAAAACGTGGGTAAGCGGTTAATGGTACCCACCGACTTTCATAGTATGGAGGAAAAAATACTAATGTAAGTCAATGGCTACCATCAACCGCTTGGCCACCCAAGTTCTTTAAAACATTAGCTTCAGCAGAAGAAAGAAAACTAGGGATTTGGAACAACATGAGGGCGAATGAATGATGATTGATTGATTGATTGATTGATTGCGTGAACTATCCCTTTAAGCTTGAAGATCCACCCTTAAAGGGGTCATATGATGCTGCTAAAAAGAACATTATTTTGTGTATTTGGTGTAATGAAATGTGTTTATGCGGTTTAAAGTTAAAAAAACACATTATTTTCCACATACTGTACATTATTGTTTCTCCTCTATCCCCAACAACAGGTTGACATGCAGGCAAGGTCAAAAAACACATTCATTGTCTTATAATATGCATTTATTTTTACCTTACTTGCTCAACGACTCCCAATCGACTAGCTCAATGATTCATTTTCCCAAACCCATCCTTTGTGTGACGCTAATCTGCAGTGATTGGTCTCATTTCCATTTCATCACGCCAGTAATGCCTAATAAAACCGCTATTTTTACCCCTCCAAAAGCTGCACCTAGTGGCAAAGAATGAATTTGCATTTTCATTCAGACCAACAAGTGGGCGGGCAGTATGCTACTTTAACATACTTACGGGTGAAATTGTGCGAATTCTTACGAATTAGCCACCAATTCGCCTAAAAATGGTTAGGAATTTACACGAGAGTGTTCGGTTGGCTGAACTTGTGAGCAAAGTAGACGTAAAAGGAGATCCATACATGTCATAAAAACATAACTTTTTCCTCAAAACTCATCTTGAGTTTTGAATCGCACAATGACTGAACAGACGGAGGTCTGACTCTGTATTAAAATTAAACAACATGCTATGTATGCTGTATGCTGAGACAGGAAGCAGGAGACGCACTATACTCTGAATGTGCTTATGCTCGTGTATTCAATTACCTCGCCCCAAGTTAATCCATGGTTCAACAACAATTTTAATTTCATGGAAGAGTACACAAATACCTGGGGATTTAAAGATTTCTGCATTTTAATGACCTGGGTTACAGTAGGACACCTGCTGACACCGTCTGCAGACCTTTTTTGTGCAGCGGCGCTAGTTCTGACCGGCGAAAATAAACAAACGCTCAGCAATCTATCAATCAAGCGTGTTGCTATGATAACTAATGGTGTGAGGAGGTCCCGCGTCTCTGCAGAAGTGCTCTCTCCATCAGTAACACCAGCAGGGATTCTCTGATGGCACTTTATACATCCTGGTAAGAGAGACGGGAGTATTTCCTCCCAAAATCAAGGTGTGATGGAACAGAGATAACTGACATGAAGCGTGCCTCTAAAATGATTGAAAGCCTCAGTGCTCGCGCACGCTTGTGATTGTACTTCGGATAGGCGCTATATTCTAATGGAAGAGAAAGTCAGCATGTTTAGCAGAGAAAGGAAAACTGTGAAACTTATTCTGACTGATAACTTTCCTATTGTGGTGCGGTCAATTTGATTTCAAACTGCTTGAAACACTGGTTAAACTATTTCTTCTTGTTGACTTTTCCCTCAGAGTCATGAAGGGCCTGCAAATCTTCGACACAGATGTGTTTTGGAAAGGGTGTACACATTTTGGCGACTACAGTGTTGGGGTCAAAGGATTGAAAGGATGTTTTTGGTTGTTATTATTATTATTTTTGGTTTTCAGTTGCAGCACTGAAAAGAAGTGAAAAAATTTTTTTACCCTCAAAACCAGACAAAACAAAAAATGCAGAGGCTAAAAATATAAATTTTAAATAAAATAAAAAATATTATTTATACTAAGTAAAAATAATGTTAGTTATTAGTTAGTTGTAGTCATTTGCATCTAAGTGAATGAACTCTCACTACAAAGTAGGCCTAGCCATGACAAAAAAAACATCAACAAAAGCCAATTTTAAACAGAAATATGTGGGACAAATTGACCCCTAAACAAAGAGTTCATCATTTCTCATATGTTACATTTTTTAGTCTGACAAGCAAAAATAGAGTTTTTATGTTTTTTTTCATGACTCAGTGTTTTCGGTAGTGTTGATTTTTGGCAAATTGCATTGAAACCAATGGGGGTTAAACTGATGCCCAACACAAATGGGGCACCCATATTATAAACACAACAGGAGGGTTAAGCTAGAAAGAAATCTGCATTGACAGTTCTAACTCCTGTTTGTGACTGGACAGACTGGTGTCCAAATGTGTAAACTTGCTCTGATATTGCAAGAATGCAGACAAAAACAAAGCTGTCCCTGGTAGAGGCTCATTAAACTCAACTCAGACCATTTTAAATGCTAATTCTGCAGCGGCTCGTGGGCATTCTGCATTAATGCCAGCACTTTTTTTCTGAATCCAGAAGACTGGAGAGCATCGCATGAATATCAAACATGGTGTATAAATTAAATTGGAGATTTTGACTGGAATGACTTTGAGCATCTGTTTTAAATTTAAAATTCCGAATGCAAAGCCCACTTTGGAAAATGAAATGGAATTTGTACTTCAGAGCCATCAACTCTCTAGGTTGTTTTTATTCTGTAACAAGCACTTATTATGATGAGCGCTATTAGACCCGGCAGTAGAGGAGACCGTGTCAGCAGCGTCTGTAATGTCAAAAGCCCCTGCGAAATGTCCAACCGGTGGCCTCTCTCCTCATAAAGAGGCTTTTCAGCAGGTTCTGCCAATGCCAAAGGTCAGATTACGCACATAACCGCTGTTACTTTATCAGACTCGCAGACAGAGCCCCGCCAAACACCTCACCAAGAAGCGGCGGCCCTCTGTCTCATATCGACAGGTGGGGGGAAAAAAATTATGAATACAATCGACTCGCACAGTCATGCCTGCTGACATCCAATCAATAGGCCTCTATAATTGATCAATCTGCTGCAGCTGCAAACTTCTAAACTGTTTCAACAAATAGCTTTAGACTAAATAGTTTTCACAAGACAAATCGGTGAGCCTAAAAGGGCATCATTAGATATTAAAGCAGAAGCAGCAACTTGTCTGTGCTGGCCTTGGGCGTTCTATTTAGAGTCAGTAATAAATGGTTTGCTCACCAGTATCATCTGTCGCCTTGCCTTGGCAGTCACTTTCTCTCAGAGATTTTACCACACACAAAGCTGCAGCAGAAGGCCTATATTGGCTTATATGAGCGTAAGGTAAATGTCAGGATAAATAATAGCAAATGCTGTGGGAAAGAAAATGGTTGAAAAATGAAAATTCATCATTTAGTCACACTTTGATCCATACCAATCATCATATTGATCCATACCAATATTTCCTCTGTGGAACACAATAGAAGATATTTAAAAATAAATAAAAATAAACAAATAAATAGGATGAAATGGGGTCAATTGGGTCTAATGTTTCAGATGACTCATTGTATATGGACAGAAACAGTTGATCATTTTTCAAAATGTATTTATTTTTTGTTTTCTACAGTAGAAAGTAAGTCATACAGGTTTGGAACAACATGAGGATAAGGAAATAATGACAAAACTTTAATTTTAGAGTAAAATATCCCTTTAAGACTATACTCTTTTAAACAACTGTTCATTCAAAATTATGGGGTCTGCAAGATTTTATTATTTTTTTTAAAGAAATGAATCTTTTTATTTAGCAATGGCAAATAACTGCCAGTTTTTATCAAGTCAAGGACATTTATGACGTAACAAAAATGTACACTTAAATAAATGCTGGGCTTTTCACTTCTGAATCAATTCCATTCTTTTTTCAGGACTCAAAAGAAAACTTCACAGTTTCTGCACAAATATTAAGCAGCACACCTGTTTTCAACATTGATGATAAGAAAATTATATCAAAAGGATCTTGCGATACTTAAGATTGGAGTAATGGCTGCTAAAAACAAGCTATTTGCAAATAACAGGAATAATTAAAAAATATAAAGAAATGGAAAACTTCTTTTAAATTGTAATATTTCATGATATTACTTTTTTTTGATTAAATAAATGCTGAGCATAAGAGGCTTCTTTCAAAAGAAAAAATCTTACAAGCCACACATTTTTGACCAGTAGTGTATGTTTGTACATGACAGCAAATATGCGTGTTTTGGTTTTCAGTTTCAAAACTAATAACATTATGAGGTTGGGTGACACAATTAGACTATACTCAGCATCTTTCAGCCCAGGACACCCTCTTCTGCATCTACTCGGAGACCATTAAATATCCACTTAAACTCATAGAAAGTCGAAGAGCTCTTCCATTAACTGTGCTTCTTAATGTACATTACAGAGCAGAGCAGACTTCATAAAAGCTGTGTTTTTAACTTCCTTAGTGCATCTGTGGGGATATATTAATTGAATAAGTTAAAAACCTCCCGAGACAGAGAATATTAAACATTGGAAACTATTTATTGAACATTTATAACCAAATATCTGTTAAATACATCATTTATTCCTATTCTTATTCTTTATGTCTCAATGACAAAGAAAGAATACCAATATTTACACTTTGAATATGGAATGTCGTATGACACTTTAAGGCGCAAAGTCTTTTGGCTTTCGTTTGATCGGAACAACAGTGAAAGAAAAAGGTAATGAAGCTGTCAGTAAGGGTGAAAATCATAATTATTCAGCTAAGAGTAAATTAACGTGTCTTGAACTCCCCATTTCAAGTTCCTTCAAATGAGGCAAAGTTGATCAATTATACTTTGAAAAGACAAATATCTTTGTATATTACACATATCTGGCTCCACACTCCCGCACACGTCACAGCTTCGTCTCCTAGGCCACGGTTTTGAAGGTCTGTAGTATCAAGTTAGTTTGGTGGATAAGTCTGTTGGCACTGATAAAGACGTTTATTGCCCTGTGGACGGGAAAGAGAAAAGTCACTGCTCAGGACATCAATTGGCTGATCATTTTTCATTGAGAAATGCACTTTCATAGAAGATCTGTAAAACAGATGTCTGCTAGAAGCATAAGCACTGCACTTTAAAAAGACATCCATCACTGTCCTTGCTTACTTTCCATCTTTAAAGTATGTTTTCAGCGTATCACTGAAGCTTTTGGAGTACTTCACAAACTCCTTCTTTTGGTGTTCAAGTGCCTGGGAAAAAAAGTTAAACGTTAATATTTGGCTATTAAAAAGAATTGAGCTTAACTAGCAGCATTTGTGACATAGTTGATTATGCAAAAAAAACTAAACAAAAAAAGGAGATCAAGGTTATAATGAGGCACTTACAATGGAAGGGGACCATTTTTTATGATTAAAAAGAAATGTGAAGCTTATTTTCTAAAAGCACTTACATTACATCTCAAAGAAAAGTTTGAATACAAAAATTAAAGTCATTTAAAGGTTTTAGCCATTAGGCTGTCATTGCAACAAATTTGTTACAAAAGTATAATTAGATGAAACTTTACACAGAAAAGCTTAGTAAATGATTTTCTTCACATTATGTTAACACAATGTTATTTCTTTCTTACACAAATGCATCGCTTTTTTACAAAAAATGCATTGCTTCGCTTCAGAAGGCCTTTATTCACCCCTGGAGCCATGTGGAGCACTTTTATGATAGATGCACTTTTTTGGGCTTCAAAATCTCGATCCCTTCACTGCCATTATAAATCTTGTAAGAGCCAGGACTCCAATATAGCTCTGATTGTATTTGTCTGAAAGAAGAAAGTCATATGCACCTAGGATGGCTTGAGGGTAAGTAAATAATGGGGTCATTTTCATTTTTGGGTGAACTATCCCTTTAACTTGTATTAATCCCAGAAAATTATAAAAAAAAAAATATCCCAACCTGCTTGTGCAACAGTGAAAATCTGTGAAATAAGAAATACTTACCCTGCGATTCTGATACTGATATTTCTTAAACACATTGTTGACTGTGTCCAGCAGCTCTTTTATAGCACTGGCGATGTCTCTGTGGAAATCAGCGAGAGGTCAGGAGTGATGAATACATTTATGAACAGCGAAGCACTGACTCAGCAGTCAGGCAGTGGAGAGTGGCAAGATAACAGAGGAGAGTTCCATTAAAAGGTCTACAAATTTTTCACGTTTGAACATCTCCTGAGGTCTATGTATCCATGGTATTGTCAGCTATGTGAAATCATTTAGTCGATTAATTGGTGGCTGATTGCTTGATTAAAACTAAAGTACTACACTTTAAACAAGACTATAAGGGGAGAAAAATCTATAGGCTCCAAACGATTTTAACTGCAGTTATTACGTGATCATTACTCTAGTTTGTAGTAAGTACAACGCAAGTATTCATTTAGCAGAAGCTTTATCCTAAGTGACATACAGTACACTTATTACTGGGACAATCCCTCTGGAGTGACCGGAGGTTAAGTGCCATGCAGATTACCGGGGCAGATCTTTAACCACTATGCCATCAAGGTGAAAACATGGGACAGGATCCTCACTTTATGGTCTGTAGGAAGCGCACTCTGTCGTTGATCTCGTCTGGGATTTTACTCAAGATATGTTTGAGGGCTCGTGCTTTTTCGTTTAGGTCCTGGAATTCCTGCTCTGGTCTTTCAATCATGTACTCTGCGAAACATGAATCACAAAACTTCTTAGGTTCAGATACTAAAACTGTCATTATTTGTATCATTTTGAGTGTAGGAAAGATCCAGAAATAGGGACTGTACCAGAAGCAAATAATATTATTTTTTTTACCTTCCACGTCATCTGCAGCCAAGCGCAGTAGTGACTCTGTGAAGTTGATCTCCACGTTCTTCTTCTCCAGTATCTTCATGATGATATCCTGAGTGAGGCCTGGGTTCTCTTTCTCTGCCTTGAGAAGGTGGCGTTGATTGAAGAGCATTAAACTCACATCAGTAAACCTCATATTATGTTGAGCATGAAATTAATCGTTTTTTAAAAACAAATACATCACAAGGGCCAGATGAAGAGAGATATAAATAAATAAATACTGTATCATCTGCATCTGCCAGCTGATGAATGGACACTTTCAGGAAGTCTTACTTTGATAAATGCTGCCCGCAACGTCTGTGCTGCTGACAGGTTTATCCCCTCCAACTGTCAGATGAACAAATTCAAAATCAGACGTTTCATATTCACATACTTTATGATGAAATATCAACTACTTGAAGCTACACTACTGCTAAAAATGTTGGGGTCAGTAAAACTTTTTTCATCCATATTTATCAAGAATGCATTCAATTGATCAAATGTAACAATAAAGACATGTATAATGTTATAAAAGATTTCTATTTCAAATAAATGCTGTTCTTTTGAACTTTGTATTCAACGATCAAAAAGTTATTCTCAACTAATAACAATTCACATCATGACAAATTTTCTGCATTTAAAAATTTACATTTAATCATTTAACAGATTAAAGATACAAAATGTTTAGTTAAAGACTGTTCTTCTTATAAGCCGAAAAATAATTTTTAAATTCATACTACTTGGAAGTTTTAAACACATTATTAGTGACAGCTAAGAGAATACAATATAAAAATATACAGTAACATTAAATTATTAGTATTTTTACCCTGAGGTGCAATTAAAAAGATTAATTAATATATATGATATAACTCTTACTGCATTGAAATAAATATTTACGTAATTATTTATGTCATTATTTTAATGCATTACTATTGCTGCATCTGTTTTATACCAAAATATAATAGTTAAATATATAATAGTTATGAAGGGATGTATATATATATATATATTTGACTGCTATGGTTTCCTCAGTCAAACTTGACTGCAGAGCCTCACCTAACTTGCATGACATAATATCGACGTCATCTGACACAATCTAGACACCTTGTTTTTGTCACAAAATATAGCCTAGATAGTCCATGCTAGTGAAAATTGTTTAATCATTTAACCTGCTAACCCGTCCATTACAATAGACGTGTAGCAAATGTTTTTCTAGCATCTTTGTCACAATCCCTCCGGCTCCTTTCGATTCAGTTTGGTTGTTTTTAAACCGCCAAAGCCAAATAAAACAGACCTCATTCTGACATTATTCAAGATTTGCTTACTTCTCAATTGTTTTTTTTAGAGTTAGCAGCCAGGCTAACTCCTTCATAGCCAAAAATGAGCAGGCTGGCTATCAAAGTTAGCAGACAGATCTGTTCATCTCGACGTCCGTACATTTAATATGATCACAATCTTAACAGAAATACCTGCTCTCGTCTTCGCCTGCACGTCCCACAGCTGAGGGGTAAGTAATAAAGGTTTCCTTGACGCTTAGCTAGCTAAATGTAGCTGTTTGTTTTCAACTTCGGAAGTAGGAAGTTTTCTGCGTGAGCTGAGAGAAAGCTGACGACTTCCGTCTCCTGACCAACCAGACTGTACCTTCTATGGGCGTTTGAGCGCGTCTCATACTTTGTATTGAATATAATGTAAATTACTGTAGGAATATTTGAAAATCTTTTTATTTGCAAATCAGTAAACATACAGCATTTAATTCGCAAAAACAAATACAGATATATAAATAATAGTATATGAGCAGTTAAGAGAAGAAAAAAATATAAGGGGGTGAACACGAACAAATTAAAGAACCCACATTAATCATAATTTTAATAAAGCAAAAAAAAATCCCACATTTGGCTTCATGTAAATATTTCAAAATATATTGTAATTTTTTATCTTTTATAAGTAGCCTACATTTGATGTTCAAATTATTTAAGGTTCCTACTGAGAATCATAAAAAAATCATTTGATAATAACAGAATACAATAAAAGAGCTCTTGTACAGCTTTAATATATAATATTTTTATACTTTACAGGGAAAGTCCAGATGCGCTTTAGGTTTTGAGATGAAAGTGATGTACCAGACAAAAAGTACAAAAAGGTAAAAAGAAACATTGGAAAATCATTTACAATTTAACTTCTTATCCATTTTACTACATTACTACTTTTAATAAGTGAAGATTAATTTGAAAACATATTTTTTTCACCTTAAAAATCCCAAGTACAGAACTGAGGGAATATTACAAAAATAAATAATATTTGCCTATAAGAAATCATTCAACTACTCTCTGACATAAGAAATCAAAAGTTTACTTATTTTTATTCAGCAGGGTGCCATTTCATATCGCCTTAGTAAGATCAAAAAGATACAATGCTTTGATTAAATATGAATGCTAAACAAATCCTTGTACTTGGAAGTACAGGGCTCTTGCATAAGTAGTCACTTAAAAAAACAAGGGATCACAGTTGTTGCACTTTAGTTTTCTGCAAGAAAAGATGTGTAAAGCCACTCATCAGGCACTAGAATCAGTCCCCTCCACATCTCAGGCTTTTGATTTCTTTCCCTAAGATCTTCTTCATCCTCTTTACATCAGTTTTTCTTGGAAGCTCTCCATCTGATTGGCATCGTTTTCAGCTTCTGGGTTTTCATTCAGTTTATCATGGCCCTGAAACAAAAGGTTTTTTGATATTTCAAATCTTCTGTGCTCAAAATGCACTTAGCCTGTCTAACATTTTGTGCATTTACATTCTAAATACAATGCTCTGCATTTTCAGCTGAAGTACAAAGTTATAATTATTTTCTACATGTTTCTCACTACTTTTGGTTGATTGATAGGAAAGGCCTTCTTAAGCAGTTGGCTGACCTGTGCTCCATTACGCTCACTGTAGGGATCTTCTTCACGCTCTTCCTCTTCTGCTCTCTTCTGTCTGTCATGCACTGAGTCATCAAGAGTCTAATGGAAGTTGCAGTGGGGATGATGGGAACAAGTCATTTTTCATGTATCACTTCCTCAGCACACCAGTCCATCAATGCCTGTATTCCCTCACCTCATACTCTACATCGTCCTCATATTGCTCATCCGGCTGGTCCTCTTGCTGCTCGGGATTGCCTGCCACCTATTGATATAGTGCATCAGTAATCTGCTTATCGTTCCATAACAGAGGGTTTAGTTCGTTTGCTGGAAACTACTAACAGCAACTTTGTCAACAGGTTTTACATTTATTTATTTACTCTTTTGTCTAAATTAAAAGATAAAATGCAAAAAAATTTCTCATTTTAAATGCTACTTTAAATGTTACAACATTATAATATACAGTATAAAATGGTTGTTAATTTTAAGATTTGCTGAAGTTATTAATGTTTTTTTTTTTTTTAGATTTACTTTAAAATGATAAAGGTAATTTAAATCTGTAAACATCTGTAAAGATATTAATGAAATACATCCTAATTCAAAAATTTGGGATTGTTAAGTTTTTTATGTTTTTGAAAGAAGTCCCTTATGTTCGCCAAGGCTGCATTTGCTTGATCAAAAATACAGTAAAAACTGTAATACTGTGAAATGTTATTACAATTTAAAATAACTGCTTTTATTTTAATATATTTTAAAACGTAATTTATTCCTATGATGGCAAAGTTGACTTTTCAGCATCATTACTCTGTGTGACAGTTTCTTCAGTGTCACATGATCCTTAAGAAATCATTCTAATATGCTGATTTGGTGCTCAAGAAACATTTCTTGTTATCAATGTTGAAAACAGTTATTATTTTTTGTAGAAACCGTGATATTTTCAGAATTCTTTGGTCAATTGAACATTCAAAAAAACAGCATTTATTTGAAATAGATTTTTTTGTGACAATGTAAAATGCATTACAGTCAGTTTTGATCAGTTTAATGTGTCCTTGCTGAATAAAATTCATTTCTTTAAAAAAAATAAATCTTACTGACCCCAAACGTTTGAACAGCAGTGTATGTTCAATATTGCCAAATAATGATAAATTAAAAGAAATCACTTGGCAAAATAAATCAAACTTGTACTTGTACAAATGTCAGAGGTCAGTATCACTGCAGACTCTATTCCATGAATAATATAAGAGGAGCTTGTCTGTATCCTTCTTGTTAACTCACCACAAGCTGCTCATCCTCTTCAGGCCTGATCTTATTCGCATTGCTCTTGTACTCGGTTTCTTCTTCTGCCTCTTCAAATTCATCTTCGTTCTGGTTGTTGGCCTCATTCACAGAGTTCAGGTTTTTTTCTCCTATGCCCTGCTCAAAGGAGTCATTTCAAGAGAGAATAAGTCATTAATAGAAATCTTAAAACTTCAAATGATACAATTTCCTGTGATAAAACTTTAAAGAAATTGTAATTTGCACTTCAAAGTCAAATAATTGAGCTTTTCGAGAAATAATACAGAGAAAGCGCAGCCACAGTGTTTACGCCACACTGCCTTGATGTTATTGAATAATTAATTTATGACTCTGCATGCAATTTGTCATTCACGCAGTGTGTAAGTGGTCCAGGTCAGTTTTTTTCCTGTTTTCTACATGTGACACAGATCTAATGTCTGAATAGCGTAAACAAACAATGATCTTTTCAAATCTGTTTTAGGCCTCTTTCATGTAAAAAAAAGACATTATATATAATAAAATATACACTGCATTATCAGACACACCTTTTTGTGCTTTTGCATCTTCTTTACATCTTCTCGTCCAGCCATAACATGGTGTGATTGCACAGCATTCCCTGTATTTCAACAGAAATGAAAACTATACTGTAAAAATGATTTTTCAAAGCTGTAAAAAAAAAACTGATTATTGTTTTACTAGAAAATACTACTTTAGTTTATCTACTTTGAAATTTCATGTTTCATTTATGTGTTACCTGCCTTTTTTTGTAATTTGTGAAATTTCTGGGTAAAAAAAAAATTTGACAATTTTTTCAGCATAATAACATCAGTGTTTTAATTTAAATGTTGTCAATTCAAATCTCAGCTTGGTAGCACTTTGGACATTTGTGCTAGAACCCTTAGCTTCATAAAATACAGCAGAATCAGAAAAAGCCAATACCTGCCACAAAAATATCCTTCCTTACCAGCAATAACTGTATCCAAAGCCTCAAAGTGTACTTTGGTTCTGTGAAGTGGCTCTGTCTGTGTCTGTTTCTCCGGGGTTTGGCTTAGCGTGTTGCGAGGGTTAATGCCCAGCTCTTCTGGGTTTGATAAGGAATGTTCCAGCACTGCCTTTTTCCCCTTATCCTCTCCTACTCTATCCTTTGATGTGCTTCTCTCCTCTTTCTTGCCGTTTCCCTCAGCAAAAATATCAATTTGCCGAGGTTGCTTCATTGCCACTTTGGTCGCATTGTTATTTTCAATTTCCAACACACCTTGAGGGGATAACCCTTTTCCATTTTCCTCATATCCTTCCACCTGTAAAGGAGAAACATCCGTATGACCAAAGTGTGGTGTGGCCTGATGATAAGACACTTGCATTAGCCACAGTCACACATTTACATTATTAGGTTACGTGAGTCATCTCATCCTGAAGTTGACAAACTAGCCCAAATGGCCTTTGAATATATACTTCAACTGCAATAGGAAGTGAGAATAATTTCAAAAAAGGATTAAGACTTAATCCATTTGTGGCGCGAGAGTGTGAACAGCACACATTCATGTCTACAGTAGGCTGATTCATAGGCTTCCTTACTAATAAAAGCAAAAAGCCAAATAGTAAATGAGTTAACGTTGTATGTTACATTTCCTTCTGTACCTGAATGGGCTTATTATGCAGCTCCTCATTTAGGCGCTCTACTGTCTTCAGTATATAGCTGCGGGTGCGTTCAGTTGCAAAATGATCAATTTTAACCTCTCAGCCTGCACTGGATGCTTTATTGCGATTATCCTTTAATCGCCTCAGCTCTTCCACCTGAAGCTTTATTCAAACATTGAATTAGGATGGAATTAAAAATTTCTCAAGTGATACTTTGTATTGCGTAGATTGGGTAATGAAAGTCAAATAGTATGAGAGCTGACTCTATGAGAGAAAGATGCAAACTCAGCGCAGAGACTGTAAAACATAAATTAAATAAACAGCCAAGGAGAAAATTTACTGAATTTATAATGTTATATATTCTAACCTTCATAAATAATTCTTATAAAATAGATTCCCCAGTTTTATTTGAGAACAATGTTTTATACAGCATGACGCTACTGAAGGGATTATTTCTACAATGTAAGGTGAGGAAGAATAAGTAGTTTACATGTTAGAATGTGTCACAGTTGCACATTACAGTGCTGTGAAAAAGTTTTTGCCCCCTTCCGTTTTTTTTAATTTTTTGCATATTTGTCACACTTGAATGATTCAGATCATCAAACAAATTTTAATATTACACGAAGATAAGCCGAGTAAATACAAAATGCAGTTTTGAAATAATGATTTCATTTATTAAGGGAAAAAAACTGTCCAAACCTCTTTTAATTCAGCCACACCAGAGGGTTTTCGAGCATGAAAGGACTGTTTAATGTCATGCCACAGCATCTCAATCGGATTTAAGTCCGGACTTTGACTTGGCAGCTCCAAAACCTTAAAGGGGTCCTATTATGCTCTTTTACAAAGTCTTGATTTTGTTTTGGGGGTGTACTAGAACAGGCTCTCATACTAGGTTGTTCGAAAAACACATTATTTTTCACATATTTTACATTATTACAACACCTCTCTCCCCAGTCTGGCATGAACGGCCAGGTAGGTTTGGACAGCTTTTTTCCCTTAATAAATGAAATTATCATCTAAAAACTGCATTTTCTATTTACTTGCATTATCTTTGTGTAATATTAAAATTAGTTTGATGATCTGAATCTTTTAAGTGTGACAAATATGCAAAAAATAAAAAAACAGGAAGGGGGGCAAAAACTTTTTCACAGCACTGTATATCCGGTCAGATATAATGTCAGTATTAAAATGTTAATAGCAGGCAAACATGCATCACTCACACATGGTCAAATGCCAGGGTGACACATCTGTAGTATTTACAGCTTGAGGTGGCCTAAGGCAAAGAAAACGATCAACCATAATAAGAGACTTAATACATGCTTAAGATGTAAACATTGCTAGGCAGGTGTTTCCAACAAACTTAACTCCATTTCACATCTCTCTGCACATTTCAGCTGTCTTTGTAGGGTAAGATGGCATGAAATGAGATGAGAACATAATTAGTAGGTTAAAGGGTCATATGACGTTGCTAAAAAAGAACATTATTTTGTGTATTTGGTGTAATGAAATGTGTATATGTGGTTTAAGGTTCAAAGGTCAATAAAAATATTTGAGAGAAAAAACAAATATGGGTGCATTAGGATGCATTAAACTGATCCAAAGCAACAGTAAATACATTTTACATGTTTCTAAAATTAATAAGTAAATTATTTCTGAAGGATCATAAAAGTGAAAAGTGAGTGACATAAAGTGACGTGACATGTGGCCAAGTGACCCATACTTGGAATTCGTGCTCTGCATTTAACCCATCCAAAGTGCACACACACAGCAGTGAACACACACACACCGTGAACACACACCCGGAGCAGTGGGCAGCCATTTTTTTTGCTGCGGCGCCCGGGGAGCAGTTGGAGGTTCGGTGCTTTGCTCAAGGGCACCTCAGTCGTGGTATCGAAGGTGGGAGAGAGTGCTGTACATTCACTCCCCCCACCTACAATCCCCGCCGGTACGAGACTCGAAACCACAACCTTTGGGTTACGAGTCCAACTCTCTAACCATTAGGCCAGGACTTCCCCTGTGACACTGAAGACTGGAGTAATGGCTGCTGAAAAATCAGCTTTGGAATAAATTACATATTCCAAAGCTTTGGAATAAATTACATTATGAAATATATTAAAACAGAATCAATTGTAATAACATTTAACAATATTGCTCTTTTTTACTGTATTTATCTAACAAATGCAGCCTTTGTGAGCATAAGAGACCTCTTTCAAAAACATAAAAAATCTTACAAACCCCAAACTTTTGAACGGTAGTGTACATTGTCTTAACAAATACAAAAACAAATTGGCTCATAAAAAAATTGTTTGCTGGGTATCCCAATACTAATTCTTAACATTTAAAGGGGTCATATGATGTTGCTAAAAAGAACATTATTTTGTGTATTTGGTGTAATGAAATGTATTTATGTGGTTTTTCAGAATATTTAAATTAATTTAATCCCCAAATCATTACTGTAATGCAAATCTCATTCTCACTGGAATAACATAAATATTAAATAAAAAATATTAATATATAAATTATTTTATTTGATCATAGTAGCATTTATTGTACTGCCTTTAATGAATTAAAGCTAATTCATTTTTTATTTTAAAAATCTATGTAAATCACTGCCTTTTTTTACTGCAATACAGTAAATGGCTGTATTGCAGTAATGAGAATCATTACTGGGAGAAAAAAAAAAGTAGAAAGAGAATACCAGACACTTTACAGTGATTAGAATATAGGGGTAAAATTAACTTAATTGTCCTGAAAATGATCTCACAATGTAAAAAGTCCAGCTGTATATATTCAATTTCTTTTATGCAAGATATGTTTTCTTTTGGACAGAAATGTGATCTGGACTTGACAGGTTTTATGAGATTCACCTTGATATAATGAACACTATAATCTGGCACAGAAAGGTGAAAATCCTCAGTGTGGTGTTACCCAATGTTTGTCAAAGGACCCCATTCAAAAGCTTAGAGGCAGAAAGCATTGCCATCAAGTGAAAGCAAATAAGTATTCTCAAGGAATGTTGTTCACAAGAAAATCTTGATGCTGTTCTGATGCGTGGTCAATTATTATGCACCAACTATATAAGAGGTTGGATAAGAGCTTGGATAAGAGGAATTAACAAAACAGGCCGAAACATTTTCAATAGAAATCTCCGGAGGCAAGCAACAGATATCTCAAAACAATCAGATAAGCCCCAATCAAAACATCTAATACAAAGTGCCTTCGCTGTAGGATCTTTTTCATTAATTTTCTACCTTGCAGCTGCGCAGAAAGTGACTCTTGATGCTGCTGGTACTTCAAAGCCGTCGCCTCAGTCTTTTTCAGCTCTTTATGCATCTCATATGAGATCATGAAGGCGCACAACGTCCCGCAGACGAAGGAAGGAAGGAATATCTCTTTGGATTTAAGACTTTAGTCTTTGCAACTTTACAGATCTTCTTTATGCACCAAGAGCTTGTAACACTCCAAAGAGAAAGGAAAAATTGAAATCGCAACATATGGCCCCTTTAATATACTGTGTTTGCTATTAATTTAAGAAAACACAAATTTTATGTTTGTGATTGTATGGTCAAGCTACACTAACTGTTTAAAGGTGTTGCAGTGGCAGAATGTGATTGACTTCAAGCATGATACACACAAACTTAAAGCAGTGGTCATGACTGTGTGTTACCTGGGCGGCAACAAGTGTATTTTTATGGTCTTGTAATGTGAGTGAGAGATGATCTTTTGAAGCTTGCAGGTTCTTGTGCTGTTCCTGAAATGGTGAGGAAGAAATAAATAACTGTCATTTCAGTAACGTTTAGAATAGTAAAAGTCCATGTTTTAGGATTACAAACTGAATAGCAATACAGTAGTCAACATTTGATGTGGATCAAAAAAAAGTTAATCCAAGTTGTCCTAACACAAGAACGCATTTTGGTTTTAGGTTTTAGGACAACTTTGATGAAAGGTTTTGATCCACTTCAAATGTTGACTAGTATGTTCTCTGTCCTTAACTGAACTACTACATGCAAATTCAAACTTCCTTGAAACTCTAATCACATAATGCATCACAGAATCCTTTGTAGTTTCTCTGACCTGCACGTCAAGTAACTGTGTGTAGATGTCCTGATGAGCTTTCCGCAGCTGTCCTCTCGAACAAATTCCTTTCCCCATCCTTTCCTCCTCTTCTTGAGTAGACAGTAAAGACTATGTGCCATCCGATTCTTCTTCAGTAACGTAAATGTTTAGGAAAGCCACAATGATCCGTCTGTTTATTTTTTTTTCTCCTCGCGATGCTGTCCCTTTAATGGACGCACCAGTTGACTTCTCGAGTTAGCCCTAATTATAGGCTACTTATCCCTTACGGAAAAAGTAAGTCCGACTAATGGCTATGAATTAGCTTTTTCAAAACTTTCATACGTGTCATTCACAAAGGACTGTCATTATAGAAGTTTGTTAACCAACTCCTGCTCCCTTTTGAGTACAGTGCCACCCAGAGGCCAGTGCGCTGACGTACATTTACTTCGGTTACTGTACTTCATAAGAGATTATGCACAGCAGAAATCCATCCAAAAGATAACATATTCTTATAAAAATGTGTTTCTCACCTAGGGTCACAAATATTTATTATATGTTTTCTGAAAGTCATTAGGCTACAACTTCTACCACATAAATTCCACCACATTCAGATAGGCCTAATTTATTGTGTTTATTAGCGTTTTGTGGTGAAGAAATACGGTGAAGTTTTAAACATTGCTGAAGTGAAATGTAAATGTATAGGCTAATTTATAAAATAAAACTATTGTATTGCTACGACTAATTCATAACAGTATTTTATGTAGGTACACAACTGAATAATATTTCCACACTTCTTGCACAATTTGACAAAATGACAACATGAAACTACAAATTTTAGTGTTTTATTCTAATTTCTGGCTACTACAAATTAAAGTACATGAAATTCAGATGAAAAACTTGTCTGTTCTCCTCTCGAAGGTTGTACACATTCTCTGCAAGGAGGAAATCTGGTGATGAAAGACTCTAGCAAATGTATGTGGTCAGGCGCATTTTATATGGCTGGAAATGGATTTGGTCTGAGCCTTAAATCTGATTACTCTGAATACATACAACAGTAGCACACAGATTCACCTTTCAGTCTGGAAATTTCAACCTCCTTCTCCCTCTGCAGGTTGTCTATTTCCAACCTGTGCTCATCCAGAACACGTTCATGATCCTGCCCTTGATTCTGGTGCTTCTCTTGAAGTTCATAGTATTGCATCTTCAAGTCTTCATGCTGGGACTGATTTAGTGGTTTGCAAACGACGTGAGAATTATTATATTTAACATAGTCCACAATTAAAATACCATAACTAGTTTATCAAAAACTTCCATTATTTCATCTCACCTTCAGTATTTGATGCTCTGTCTGCAGAGCATTCAGTCGATAGGTTGATTCTTGCTGTTAGGTCAAACAAAACTGTAAATTATTATGCATCCACAACAGCTGACAGCAGCTTTATCATGTTTACACATCATTAGTAATCAAAACACCATACTTTTTAAATTACCTTTTCTTTGTTGAGGGCCTTCTGTGATTCCCGCTTAAACACAAGCAAATCTATGATGTATTGACAATCAATAGAGGCTTTTAAAAACAAACGTGAAGCAGACTGCATTCAGCACAACCTGGACTCATTATCATTCATTATCTATCATCATTATCAAATCGCATCCAGATTAAGTGGGTTGTGTATATCAGGAAATCTATTTTTGTGCAAATGAACAGGACATTACCCTCTTCAGCCTTCTTATGCTCAAGTGCTGAGACCTTCTTGTTTTGTCATTTAACTTTTATGAACATGATTGCAAATCATAAACCATAAACCAGATGTTTGTAGTGTAAATACTTCCATTTTTATGCAGAGGACGTTTCCAGCATGACTAGAATGACTCTAGTAAATTGAACTTTTCTTGCAGTGAGGATGGTGTCACAGTGGTGGTCTTCATTCTACAAAGCACTTTAATTGAGCACAATCATTACTCTGGTCAGATCATTCATATTTCTTTGTGATATATGTCTGAGTTGTGCAGCTGTGAAATTTTGATGGTGATAGATAGTTCTTTACAGTCCTCCATCTCATGGGCCGACGATAACTACTTGATGTCCTGGAACAAGTGGAATGAGGAGAAGCCAGCTCCTGAGAGAAGAGTTCAGGAGCAGATGAGCTTTAGAAAGCTGATTCGCCATCATGCAAGCCAGGTGTACTGTTAAAAGGACAAGAACATTGGGTACCAACTAATGCAAAAATGGTTGAAACTTTTCTCTTTGGCAGCAAAGATTCCAGACCTGACAAAACCTCTGCTCAGTCTGCTGCTGTTATCTGGGATGAGGATGTGGACTGGAATACATGGGTTGATGGCTGGAAGGAGACCATCGAATGTGCTGCAAAGCTGAAGAGCCAGTCAGGTGTGATGTATCCACTGCCTAAGACCTCTTATGAACACTGGGATGAGTCGAATGATATACATGCTGTTCGCTTCTATAAGCTGGTAAGCAAGCCAAAGGGAAGAAAGAAGAATGTGAAGTAGGCATCCGACCCCTTATTCTTGGGCGAATGGCAGGCAAAGAAGGATCCCGAAGATCTCTTTTGTCACCTTGTTACCTTTGTCTTAACATTTTCAAAGTTTTATCACAACAATTTCAACACTTCTTTCATCTAAATAATCCTGCTGTGACTTAAGTCAACACAGGTAGGTTGCAATATTCTAGCATGTCTGTTTTGTCATATGTCTTTTCAAAGTTTTATCACAACAATTTCAACACTTCTTTCATCTAAATAATCCTGCTGTGACTTAAGTATCTGACCTGTTTTGATAGACTTTCTTATTTAAAAAAAAAATGCAAAGAAATAAATGTTGAGTAGATCATAAACGTTTCCAAGACAGTTTTAATGTGTCCTTCATATAACAAACTTAATTAATTTGATTAATTAATTTAATTAAATAAAAATTTAAAAAAAAGTTTTAATAAAAATCAACTCCGGGGACATAAAAGTGTAGAAAAAGACTACATTAACGGCTTTTCAATGACAGCATAGGCTGCCAATCATGATTTTCTTCCTAAAGTGTGTTTTGTGTTTTGCTACAAACTCACATATATTGTAACCTCTTTGTTTTTGAGCTGATGGATTTCCAAATAATTCTGAGCTCTATAAATGTAATTACTTGAACAATGTTGTTTATGATATGTCATACTCAAAATAACAAACTTAATTAATTTGATTAATTAATTTAATTAAATAAAAATTAAAAAACTGTTAGTTTTAATAAAAATCAACTCCGGGGACATAAAAGTGTAGAAAAAGACTACATTAACGGCTTTTCAATGACAGCATAGGCTGCCAATCATGATTTTCTTCCTAAAGTGTGTTTTGTGTTTTGCTACAAACTCACATATATTGTAACCTCTTTGTTTTTGAGCTGATGGATTTCCAAATAATTCTGAGCTCTATAAATGTAATTACTTGAACAATGTTGTTTATGATATGTCATACTCAAAAAAAGAAAAAAAAATTGTCATGTTACAAAACTATAGCTAATATTTTTATGATACAATTATTATTGTAATACAGAAATAGCAAGTGATATACATCAACTTTTACAGTCATTGATACTGATGTGTTAGCCATTCATAATAAATAATATGGTTAAATATAGCCTATTTTTAGGTTGACAGGACAAAGTTTAGGTCATTTAACATGGGAGGGCTATTCTGACTATATGTCTCACAAACCACTGGAAAATACTGCTCATTGTAACAATCATTACACGTACACATGTGGGTGTCATTTCAGAGTTAATGTCACTATGGTTAAAGCACACGCCTTGTTTTGATTCATTTTATATTATTTGTGGTCAGACTGGCAATAGTCATGAGCAACACCTATGCAGCAATACGCCAGACAAACATTGTAAATTACCAAACTATAGAAGAGGGAAAATCTGTTTTGAATCATTGGTGACCAATGCAAACAGTCATGACCAGCATGGTGATGTAAATAAATCCAGACTTGCCCCACCTTAAGTCATTAAAATGTAATTTGGAACAACAGAGAAACATTTTTTTCTATTTGTAGTCCATTTATTATCCTCACTGAGCCACACCACTAGAACTGATTAGCTTTTTACTCATTTAACTAATTTATTTACATGGTAATGCAATTCTCTACTAAAAGCTAAAATTAAAAAAGAATACACAATATTAAACCATTTTAATTGGCTTTGTGCACAGTGTTTTAAGGTTAAAGAGATAATCATCCAAAAATGAAATTTGTGTCATCATTTACTCATCCTCATGTCGTTCCAAAAGTGCTTTATTTTATTTCTTGTGTGGAACACAAATAAAATTAAACACCGTCAGGCCATTCAAGATGTTTTTGACTTTCTTTCTTCAAAAGAACAGTACAGAAGATTTTTAGCTGAAACCGTGGTCCTTGGTGATTCATAAAATACAGGTCAATGGGTAATGTCACTTTAAGAGTAAAAAAAAAAAGTGGTTACAGAAAAACTAAATGAATTCTTCAAATTGTGTCTTCTAATGATATATTGAAGTCTTATGAAGTCAAACGATTGCTCTGAACCTGAATGGATAAGTAATAATGCCGTAGTTTCTGAACATTCTATTCAGTTTCAAACAGACCAATTGTTTCACTACGTAAGACCTCAATACATCATCAGGAGCCATGGCATTCATTTTGTGTTTTTGTATCTTCTTTTTTTTCTCTCAAAGTATGGTACTCTGGACTTGCATTTTATGAACCACCAGGGATCATGGGTTCAACTAAAAATCTTCTTTACTGTTCTACTGAAGAAAGACAGTCCCTACATCTTGGATGGCCTGAGGGTGAGTAAACAGCAAATTGTCTGTTTTGGGAGAACTACTCCTTTAAGCAGTGCTTTTTATTTGGAATGAAAAAGAAGGTAAATACAAAATCACTGATGATATACAATGTAATATTACCTAATGTACAAGATTGTATTGCGATGTATTCTGGTGCTGTCTCAGTTGATATACTGAGAGCCACCATGTGGAATGATCTCTGAAACACCCCGTCCAATCACATTCCCACGGCTATCACAGGATCCGTCTTGATTGGCGTACTCTTCAATCCTCCCTGCGTCCAGCACGTGGTCCCACATGTTCACCCCTGTCATTTTTCCAGTGAACGCAACCGATGAGTCCAGATCTCTGTAGACACCCGAGCGGCTGCGCTCTTGCCCGAGCAGAATGAACCCATTTCCGGGCAATACGTGCCCTTCGGCTACTCCAGGCACTCTGGCAACATTCTCTCCATTCACCCACAAAGCGGCCAGCCCCTGCTCTGAGCTCCAAGCTGCACAGACGTGTCCCCACTGCCCATCTGTTACTACGCTGTGAGCTTCCACTAGATGGGTCTCACCGCCCACTGTGAGGAGCACCGAGTGTCTTGCCAAAAGAAGCTGGAGCTCTTGAGGGTTTTTCTTGGTTCCATAAGACAAAAGCACTGTTTTATTCAGAGACTGAGTCACTTTGGCCCACAGACAGATGGTGAATGATTGTAGGGACATGGACGTGGAGGGTGTTACCTCTGCGAAGATGTGCTTGGAGCGCATTGGGAATAATAAAGCCATTTCACAGCCTTAAAGTGAGCAAGAAATTAAAGATTCATTATTGCATTGAATCATTATGCAAATACTAACAAAGTACAGTGTTTGCAAAGTATTTATTTATTATTTCTCAAGGCCACAGATATTTTATATTTCACATTTTGTTATAAGTTCAAAGTTTGGAATCATTGTTTTTTATGTTTTTAAAAGAAGTCTCCTATGCTCACCAAGGCTGCATTGATTTGATTTAAAACAAATACAGTAAAAACAGTAATATTGTGAAATATTATTATTACATTTAAAAACGATTGTTAATATATTTAAAAAAAATAGTTTTCATTTGATTGCAAAGATGAATTTTCAGCAACCATTATCTCAGACTTCAGTTGTGCTCAGTTATTTAGCAAAGGCCTTTTAAAGCCTTTTTTCAAGATTCTTTGATGAATAAAAAGTTCGAAAGAACAGCATTTATTTGAAAAAGAAATCTTTTGTAAGATTATAAATGTTTTTACTGTCACTTTTGCTCTCTTCTTTTTATTAACTTAAAATATATTATAATTTATTTCTCAATATGAATGTTTTTACTGTCTTTTGATTAATTAAATTCAGCCTTGTTGAGGATGAGATAAATAGACAGTGTTTGTCTGCCCTGTCAGTTCCGTATGCCCTAAACCAAACTGCCCTTCGCAAATTAATAAAGTGTATTAAATTAAATTAAATTAAATTAAAAAACAGTGAAATCATAGATTTGGTCTTCCTTGAAACATCTACCTGAGGGCAGAAATCGATGTGCCGTTGCTCGTTGGAAAAGGGCCAGCTGGGCATGTACCCTTTGGAGATCCGCAACGGTGGCCATTAGCGCTCTCTCCAGCTTCCCGCCATCTGCATTGCTTGCTTCTTGTTCCTTTGGATAAGCGGAGAAAGACTTCATGGCCACTTGCCCCAGACCTGCTCCCAGCAGTGAGCTGCTCTCCAGTTTGGTGAGACGGGTGGCCTGGTTCCTGCTGAACTGAATGAGCTGCTGCAGCGTCTCATTGTTTTGGGCTTGATAATTATCTGCAGCCTCTCTGAGCTGCTCCATGGCTTGGTTCAGATTGCGGTTCATCTGTTCACTTATACATTTACAGGTGTTTTCTGAGGCCTGGATGCATGCTTTGTTGTTGTTAA